GGAAAAGAGTATTTATGACTTTATTTCAAGGTCATGAAATTAAAAAAAAGTAGATTTTTGTCAGTTTTTTTATTTCACTATGTCGTTTCCGTCACAGATTGTTGTTTTATGAAAAATAACGATAAGCTGGATGTAATTTAAATTAAATTAATATCATACAAAGTACGGAAATATTATGGAAATACCAAGTAAGTGAATTAATACTTTCAATGTGTCATGGAGTCATATTTAGTTTTACCCGCGAAATTTTCGAATGTGACACAAAGACTGCCTCTAAAGACTGTCTGCTTTAGTCCAGCATTGATATTTTGGAGTTACATGCATTATTGTTCATATTACCAACCATCACATCGCGGTATGGCGGCCTGTTACCACACTACGACTTTTCTTACATTAGGTAACTATCGTTATTATACTAGTAGGAACATACTTTATTTTAAGTTTTGAGCTGTAGGTAGAACAGATAGTCATAGAATAATTTAGAAGTAAGTTTTAACAATGATTACGTTAAATTCAATACTCACAATGTATTTGCTGAAAACGTGCCAATTGTTCTGACGTTTCTCTTTCCCTAAGAGTTGGGGTAGGAGGAACTGTAATCGTTTTTCTTCTAAAAGCAATTGTGCACCTTGTGTTCTCAAGATTTCACAACTGTCAAATCTGTTTCTTTCGCCTTTTGGTACAGCTGGGAACAACTGGTTATTTTTTTAAACGTTTAAACGTTGTAGCTTTTTTAAAAGCTTTTTAGTTTGAAGCATAAAAAAACGTTTAAGGCATAGACTTTTATGTTAAAGAAAACTTGCAACGTCGTGTTGATAGCGAAGAGCTAGAGTAGACCCTAAAGATTGTAAGTTAAGTAAGTTTATTTGTAAAACACGAGTTTTATTTTTATTTATAAAGTTATTATTCACATTGATGAATTAATTTGTTTAGGAAACATAAATGGTGAGACTTGAAACTTAGGCACGTTGTAAAATGAAATTGTCGAGTGTAGAACTGACCACCGCTTACCTACGCTTAAAATAAAAATGGTGCTTGTGTTTATTTTAAAAAGCAAACTTTTTTAAGTTGTTTTCGTTTAAACCGTCTACCTCTGCCTTTCGGATTTGGAGCATCGTAGCGACATCTCTTTAAAATCATTTAAACCAATATGTTCGTCTGTTTTATCGACTGAAAGACTATAGTGCTAAACTCCTTAGATTATAAGTTAAGGCTTTAGATCCCTCTTCCCCCGGTGTTCCTCTTACCCCATCTGATCCTATATATGTATATTTACTTATTATTATTGGTACATAGAGGTAGACACACCGTGTGATATATGTATTTGCGAGGCGTTACTGGAGGACAAGCTAGCGTCAAAAGAACCGTTCGGACTGTTCGAATTCTGGCACAGAGAGGCTTGCAATAACGATGAAGTTATAAATCCCGATGCCATGTGCCTATCTACCGCTACTCCGTAAGATTTTTAAATTGAATTGTTCTGTGTTTTTGTTTAAGGCTCGACTTATATTGCGGCGGAACAGAATGGAAGCGACTTTAAGTAACGATATAGTACATTGCATAATGAACTTTATGGTCAACTGTGTAACGTACAAACTAGATACGAGCCAAAATCTTCCGCGGAATTCTCGCGCATGCTCGAGAATGCTCGTGCATTCATTATGCTATGTACATTATCGTTTCAAAAATTCGCTTCCATTCCGTTCCGTCGCGATATAAATTGAGCCTAACATTGAACTGTACACGAGTTTAGTAAACTAAGCTATTTAGGCTAGTGATGCAACGGATGTGTCACAACGGAAACAGATGTCGAAAGTAAATCTTCGCAGAAGCGGAAACTACAAAGATCTCAACAAATTAGATTCAAACAGGGCTTGTTTTTGGTTTCATGATTGCACTTAAAACAATACAAAACTTCTACTAACCACGTCTCTCAACGTTCTAGACTTCCGATAAATGTTCCGTTATAAAAGTGCGGAAACAGAAACGGAAACAGATCTGACAAAGCGTGCAGAACTTCCGCAGTTGCGGAACAGAAGCAGAAGTCTGTTGCATCACTAATTTAGGGTTAATTTGCATAGTCGAAGAACAGAATAGAAACGAATTTTTATATCGAATTTCTACATAGCGTAATGAATTTTATATCAATTGTATAACATACATATTAGATAGGATACAGTGCGGGAATTCACGATACTGCGCGAGAATTCTCCGGAAGATGTACGAGCTGTATTTGGCTCCTAATTTGAATGTTACACAAGTGACATAATGTGACAAAAATTAGCTTCGATTCCGTTCGGCGGCAATGTCAATTGAGCCTTAGATTAGTATTGTTCAATACCCGCGCATTTCTATCTTGAACCGACTTAAAAAAGGAGGAGGTTCTCAATTCGACTGTATTTTTTTGTGTGTGTGTTACGCGATTACTCCGACATTTCTGAACCGATTTCGATGATACTTTTTTTGATAGAAACGGGGTATCTCACAGTAATGGTCCCATTCCATAACAGCAGTAGAGCTCCTTGTGAAAGAGTTCGTCCCGGGAAGTACTGCCACCTTACCTATATCTGCCGCCAAGCAGTAATGTTAGCATTACTGTGTTCCGGTTTTGAAGGGTAAGGGTGCCAGTGAAATTACAGGCACATGGGACTGTCATGATGATGATGATGAATGTTAAAATACGTCTCAGGGTGATGGGCGCAGTGGCAGTGCCCCTCAGATCTTTGCAATTTAAAGCTCTGAGGACACTGCAACAGTTATGGATAGACGTGTAGCTTACCATCAGGCCCTCGACTTGTTCGTCACTTGATATTATAAAAAAATAATTCAAAATTGAAGAAAGTATTCCACATCTAAGGTTATTAAGGCAAATTAGGGGATGAATCGGGATTATTAGATTTCACCCACTGTCCGTTAACCGATGTCAATAAAACTTGGCAAACAGACGTAGGTATGGGGAATTACCTACGTCTATTTGCCAAGTTTTATTGACATCGGTTAACGAACAGTGGGTGAAATCTAATAATCCCGATTCATCCCCCAATTTGCCTTAATAACCTTTGGGACCTTCTCTGGTCGTTTTTTTTTTTTGTAAAAAAGTTACAATTATTTTTCTCCTTATCCTAAACAACGCATTTGCATTATAATGCTTGTCATCGTGATGAAAGGATTTCGCCAATCGGCGTAAGGTACAGGTACTTGCCGATTGTTAGCCAGGGGGGGGCGAGGCATACAGGTACGGTACAAGAATGGTAACGTCTTGCGGGGAGGCTTCTATCATGCACCCCTTCTGAATGATTGATTTTATTATTATTTACCAGCGAAGGTGTTCCATCGGCGCGTATTGTCCAACTCCAAGGTCATGACAAAAATGGCTTTAGATTTTATACGAGCAGTGAGAGCCAAAAAGGCAGAGAGTTGGTACGTTTGTTTAACTTTTTGTTTTGATTTTCTTTCTAATTTGGTTTAAAAAAAATGAGCTACAACTTCCTACCTGGCTAGAGTCACAACACAAAACTCATAACAGAAATCTACGAGCTCGCACGACGCTGCGCAAGAATTTGCGAATTGCTCCGCATCGCGCATTCCTGCTATGTTAATCTTTTTTGTCTTTTTTCTTATACTTTCTTATCAATAACAGCAGTGCAACACTATTTTTACGATCCATGTCGCTACCTAGTTTAAAAAAATACGTTCAAGTACGGTTGATGATCGTCGAAGGCCGAAGGAGTGGTTACCCTGAAATGGTTGTGAACCACTAAGCGCCGCGATCAGGAACACGGCAATAAAACAGGAAACTTCAGATTCACAGAATTTAATTGTAAAGTTGAAGGTAAGAAAAGGCTGTAACAAAACAAGAAAATGTATGTAAAAACAGGTACAACAGTATGAAAAACTCCCTCACTACGGATTAACAATCCAGACACTTACCCCAACAGGGCCGAGTTATACGGTATTACAGATTGGTATTAAAATTGGCACATGAGTAGTTATTATAGATTGGTTTTAAAACTGGTAAAAGAATCAAAATTAGACGCAAATGAAATTAGAGCAGTACTGTTAGCTGCCGCGATCGAGCGGGTAGTGGCGATGGAACGCAAGAAAATCAGAATGGCGAGGCAAAGGAATTAAAGAACGATTCAAAATTTAAAACCAAGTGGCCAGGAACTGGAGAAAAGGCGATGAAAAGGTGGGATGACGATGTAAGGAGGTAACATCGTCACAACCCGAACCGTGGCAGATACCTTGCCGCACAAATTCGCATCGCGCCGATTCGCAGTTTTGTGTTTCGACCCTTAATTCTACTGTATCAACGAAAAATTTGGTAACTTTCTTTACTTCTTCTTGTTGTATCGATGGTATACATATAATGCTTGTCATTGTGGTCAAAGGTTTTGCCAATCGGGGCCAGGTCAAGGTGTTGCCAAGGGTGTGGCAGCAGTACGGGAAAGGAATAGTAAGGTATGTCGTGCGGGGAAGCTCCTTTCGTGGACCCCAAGTTTCTTTAATTGACAACTAACAACTAACAATAGCCTTTTTAAAAACCTAGGTAGTCAGTCAAGAGCACAAGCTTGACACTTTGACTCCATCTCATCTGATGAAAAGTGACGTTGAGGTCGAGGATGTAGCATGCACACCTAAAGAATGCCTATTCACTCTCGCCTTGAAAAGGTCCAAGTTATAGCGTTCGGGGAACAAGTCTGCAGGCAGGGAATTCCACTCCCTAGAAGCTTGCCATACAAATGTGTGGCAGAATCCGGGAAATATCCACAACATAGGAGTGGAGCCCCTGTCCACGTCTAGTCTCCCGATGATGGAAAGGGGAAGGGGGAATCAAATTATGCAATTCCATCGCACACTTTCCGTGATATATCCTGTAGAATACCGATAAGCAGGCAACTCTACGGCGGTGTTCAAGGCTCTGCAGCTTCGCCTCTACTAATTCCGAGTCACCTATAAGCCTCTTAGCATGCTTGTCTATTGAATTCAAAGTGGCCAGTTGGTATTTTTAGCAGAGCCATCCCATAAGTGGCAGCAGTTTTCCATACACGACCGGACTTGTGCTTGGTACAGCTGAAGCAACTATATAGGTTTATATCCACATTTATACATTTAAGTTTAATTATTTCCATTTATTTATAACTAGTTTTATTTTATTATATATAACGAAGTACAATTCAAAAGTGTACGTTCTTTTTGAGTTCATACAAAAATTTCGTTAAATTTTGGTAGGGATGAAATAACATGTATGTGGTGTTAGTTTATTGGTTCATAGTAGAACCCCCCGGCCTACGTTATGTGCCCTTGACAAGCGTTTAGTTACTGCTTTGAAAGTTATATTAAATTTTATTACAAAATTCTGTTGGGTTCGCAACAAAAATTGAATTTACATCTTAAATGTCGATACAACCTCAAATGCCTTTGGTTAATTCTGCATAACAGTGAAAGAGTTGAATCAATCACATTTGCTGCTTTACTGACGCGATTGTACCTGTCGATCCTTGTCAAGCGCTAGAATTTTTACTTCATTGTTTACTTGTATTCGTAGCATAATCATTCCGTCAATGATATTGCACTGTTCATTTGTACAACAACGTATTAAAAAAGTTTAAGTTACTGTAAAGTCGATACAACCTCAAATGGCTTGACTTGATTACGCATAACAGTGAAGGTGTTGATTGAGACTACCTATACACAATTGAGAATACCTATACACAATTGAGAATACCTATACACTGATTGATATACGGTGTAAAAAGCATACACTTCGTAATTTTACAAGAAAACCGTTGTATTCAATAGGTACTTTACATATACCAATTCTTTTTTATATCAACTGAACTAATTAGAATACGTATAGTATACGATATACATTTTTCAAATGGCTTTGATTTTGTTTTTAAAAAAATTTATTCAGAAATAAATATATAAATAAAGCCAGTGTCCCTGTCGCTCGACACACGCAATAGAACTGATTTAGTACAGGAATATTCAAAACAGTTTACCTTTAAGCTAGTTGTAATTTGTGGTTTTTGAACACATTATAGAGCGTTTATGATATGTGTGTAGATAAAATATTTTTAATACCAAGTGACGTGATAAAATATTTATTTTATAAAATTGTTATTTGCTATTAGACAAATGTTTGCATTTATATTCAATTTGCGATGTTATTGACACTTGAAATTATAAGAAATTAATTACCTGTAAATGGTAAATTCATTAAATGTACCTTTTACGGAATAGACTGTTCGATCATGTTTTGTGTTTAGGAAGGAAGAAGAAGAAAGAAGAAAGAATGTTTTATTGAGAAGCATACATTTTAAATTGGACTTACAAAATAAAAAACAAACTTAAAAACTAAAATTAAAGATACTGAATGGACACCACTCAGCAGATGCCTTGGCTGAGAACTTTATGGTATCATGTTAAACAAACACCGCATACGAGGCACTAACATTCTTATATACGCAATAAAATACACACAATTAACAAACAGTGTGTTATGTAATAACTAAATAATAAAATGAGAGAAGCTTACCCAAATTTATATATCATATTCATAATTTATTTTTATTTTGATTTATACAAATACTAAAAAGATTTTATATTTTTTTTAAACAAAAAGCCTTTTTTGAGTTCCTGAGTGGAGGGGGTATATTGTTCTGGCATTGCGTGGAAGCGTAACGAAAACTGCCACGTAATGCTGAAGTTTTGTGTCTGGGGCACATTAAACAAGAAGCTGTTCTTATGTGGCGTTGGGAAAAACTTAGTTTGTTAAAAAGATATGAGGGATTTTGTTTTAATAATTCCAAAAAGAAAGCAACTAAAATGAAGTGCACGACGAGATTTCATGTTCATTAAATTACTACGATTGAGATAGGGCATAATGTGGCATCAAGGAGAAATCGCAAAACAGTAGCGGGCACACGCATTTTGGACTCATTGTATAAAGGTCTTGAGTCCTAGCCAGCAAACGGTTGCCAATTACAGTATCGGCGTAATTAAGCCTTGACAAAATGAGAACTTCACACTGTTGGATACGCACATCTACACTAAGATATTGACGGATGCGGTACCTACAGAACCCTCAAGGTGCCTTTCCACCAGAGATGTGCGAGATAGCGAGGCGGTGCTAGAATGTGTAGCGGCGCTGTGAAACGGTGTGATGTTTTTCATCAAAGCAGCCTCGTACAGATGCGTTACGAACTCTTCTTCTTCAGCTATGCGCGGGCGGGGTCTTATAGGATGGAAAAAAATAAAGGGCGGGGTACAGTGTGGTGGGGTGAGCGGTGGCGATATGTCAGTGTCAGTTAGTGTCATAATTTCAGTAACTCTAGTCCTCGCACACATAATTGCTATTGTATGTGTACAAATACTTAACTTCGCTAACCCTTTTCCACCGGAGCTGCGCTAAGCGAGGCTAAGAAAATGAAGTAATCCTATTGGTGGATTTTTTCCTCGAGCACTGCTTCGCTACGTCGCACATCTCTGGTGGAAAGGCAGCCTTAGTCTAAAAATGTTTAAAGCTTGTGCCATTCAATGTCTTTAGTGTCAATCTGTGACGTCTACTATGTTCCGTGTCACGTGTGTTCTGTTGCCGGATATGCTGAAAATCAGCATCGTAGCACTTTAAGTGAGACGACAAAAAATGGGTCACGGTATCCTTGGCAGCACAGCACACACGCTTTCTACTCTTTATTTGTATTATAGTACCGGCACGCTATGATGGCCGTTTTGACGCTTCTCCGCTCATCAAGCTTCGTACTAATTCATAACTACGTTAAAGGAGCTAATTGATGTACATTATTGTCAATAGTGACGTGCAGTATAATTTTACGACACAACTCGGCATTTGTTTTTCGAAATTAAAAAAAATTAAATCTAATACGATTGTCACTTATACGATCGCTGTCCAGCACAACTTCTATCTCCGGCAAACCCGCGTCAAAGCTCAATGCAAAACAACGCAGTTTCGAATTGACGATATATTAAGTAAACATTTTTATTTTCGTTTTATTAAAACTTTTTAATCAGGTACCCCTTGCAGTACTAGTTATAAATCTAGAAACTAATGGATGCGACTCGCATTTGATTATATTTTTTCGATAATGAATTGAGATTTGACCTCACTATTGTAATCTGTCAAAACGGCCATCATAGCGTGCCGGTACTGTAGTTCCAAATTATTAGTTATTATTATTATCAGTATCATTACTATTATTATAAAATGCATGTCGTTGTGTACTGTGTTGATAAACAAGGAATAAATTATTTCTATTTCTACGCACCCTCTACCTGTCGCATAATTGCGTCCTTTTCAGCGAAATATAAAAGCTACAAAGAGTATAACAGACGAAAACTTTTTCGCCAGGAAGAAAACCCAAACGTAGCATTAACATTTTACTGGCCAGCTCAACAACGTTCAGTTCGCATAGAAGGTCGCGCACAAATGTTACCCAAAGCGGAAGCAGCGACATTCTTTCAAAGTAGACCGCTGGATACCCAGATAACGTCACATGTGAGTAAGCAAAGTACGCCGTTGGCGGACAGAGCGGAGCTGTGGAGACAACATATTGATATGGCAAAAAAATTTGAATCTGGAGGAGTAGTTCCCGTACCGAAAACGTGGTAAGTGATTGCTTCCAAGTTTGTTTACCATAACACTAAAGACGCACACACTTATAACCCGCACTAGAGAAACCATGGGTCGCGGGTGCCATGGACACACACACATAGACAACCACAAATTACGCCCAAACTCACGAGAGAAATAAACGTAGACCATACGAATATTTCTTCCAGCCCGGGAATTAAAAACCCGCGACCTCTGCGTGTTGGACGTACAGGAAAAGAATGGTGCAGTGAGGCTCATTTCGTGCACTCCAATTTATTTTATTTCATATTCGTTTCAATTTGTTTTTCATCGATTCTGAGAAAGCCCACTTTTTGAGACAATACACTATTGTATTGTATTAACAGTACGATGTGGTCATATACATTCATAATGTTTGCTTGAAAATAACCTTGATATACGAGTATATGATACACCTGTTTAACTATGATATTTTATTGATTTATTGATATTTGTAAGAGGCTATGGTGTCATGTCTCGATTTCATCCCCAAACCTGGTTTTGGATTACCTAAATTTTTGGAGTACCTAAATTAACAATTTATGCGACTAATGCAAGTGGAAAACGGAATAATTATAAGATTATTCGATGCCTTACTTCTCTAACTCGTGTCATAAAAAGAGTGATTATTCAGGCGATGATGGGAAAACTTTCTAAATATTTTAAATTTCGTATCAAGGGTGTTAACTTCAATGCGTTACTTTAAGAATAAGTAAAAGCTAGTGTCTGAATATGACGGAGACGTGATGTGAAATTAGCCTGCAAAATTTGTATAATTATACAATCCATTTTTTGCATTTCAGTAAGTTTGTGCTTTAAGATACGAATTTGAGAATGTAAGGCGACGAATTGTGATTTGTTGCTAAGAGGGGCCAGTAAACGAATTTGTAGTCAAGTTTTATTTTTTTTATGAATAATAACACCTCCATGTAATATTTCAGGCGAGGTTACACGGTGATTCCGCGTACTGTAGAGTTCTGTCAAGCCCGCAAGAATCGGCTCAGCGACCGTATACGCTTCAGACGACCAAATCCAAGCGAAGTTATAGATGGACACATAGTTCATCCGGGTATAGATGGATGGGTCTTCGAACGATTGGCGCCGTAACATAGTTAAGTAATTACTAGGTGGCGTTGGTGGTATAGATATAGACAAATGTTTTGTTAGCGCCATCTAGTGTTACTCAACTTGTCATATTGCGGAATTTTAAAGAACTAATTTCCAGTGACAGCATAAAATAGTGATGTTAAAAATCATAGGTAGCGCCATTAACTGGGTTTATGGATAGCTGTTGTGGCGGGTGGTTGCTTATGTGTATAAGACATAGGCAATTTATATTAAAATATTCTATTTATAACTCGTAATTACAGTTGTTTTAGAATAAAACATTTTATCTATGTTTGTGGTGTATAATTCTTGCTATTCAATTTATATAGGGGTGTGACCAACAAAGTAGACTAGAATAGAATTTTTACCGGGTGATAAATCACACGTAGTGTTGAGTTATGGAAAATAGCTCATTTTGAAAAATTCATATTTTTCAGAAAAATAAATATTTTCCACATTTCACAGTGGATATCTGACAAAAGTTGAAGGTACTGGACGAAAACTATGGAGCCATTGTAAGATTTTTTTAAATCTATGATTATGTTTTTTGGCTGTTGTTGTTTCGTATTCTTTTCAGTCGCAGTCTATTCCCAATATCTTGTAAAGTTAAGAATCTAAACAAAGGAGCGACTAATTCTAAAATTTTGTTACTAGAACCGACTAATTCACAACTTTTTCTGGATGCAATCAGATCTAAACTAGGAGCTGTGGTTCTCGAAATTCAAAAATGGTGCCGCCGGAATAAGCTTCTTCCAGCGTGGACAGTAAAACATCCTTAAAACGGCATAACGACTCAATCTAGTTTTTAACGACTCACGAATTTTTTAGTGTAGATAATCAGATCTAAGCTAGGAGTTGTGGTTACATATAAAAACTCTTAAACATGATGAGACGTCTATCAGGAGTGTGGTGGGGGGGTCCATCCATTCTGTCTGAAACTTCTTTATAATGCAGTGATTAGATGTGTGCTAGATTATGGCACGTTTCTACTGGTAGGAGGTAGTGTTGCAGGACTTAAAAAACTGCAGTCTATTCAGTCAAAGGCTCTTAGAATTGTGACAGGCGCTATGAAATCTAGCTCGATCTATGCTCTACAAGTGGAATGTGGCGACCCTCCACTCCATCTTAGAAGACAATTTTTGAGTGACAGATTTGTCATAAGGGCTATGCAATTTTCAAATCATCAGCTTCTTATTAAACTTCATACTTTAAATGATTATATTCTGTCATCTCGCTATTGGATTCGCAAAACTATTCCATGCCTCATCCAAAGTTTTCGTAATACTCACAATGTTTAAACACGTGTTCTCTAGCACTGTTCGTGACTGATTTCGAGTCGTTATTAATACTCCCAAATATATGTTATAGGTATTGACAAAAGTGATATTGAGGTTAATACTCAATTTAATTTTAATGTCAATGAAAATTGGAGCGAGTGGCATCACATATACACTGATGCGTCGAAAATGTCCAGTGACCAATGTGTAGGAGTTGGGGTAATACACAATCAATAGAAAATAATACAACGGGTTAAGCTTCCCCCCGAAACTACCGTGTTTACAGGTGAATGCTTCGGTCTATTTAGGGCAGTAAAATATATACTTATAGGCAATTTGAGTAAAACTATAGTTTTTTTCAGACTCAAAAAGTGTTTTGCAAACCCTTGAGAAATTTCCTTTTAAAATGAAACCCTACTTATTATCCTATAATTTTGGAAATAAGGAAAAATGTTACAGTGTAAAGCTAGAGGCTACTCTGTTATTTTTGCGTGGATCCGCAGTCACCATGGTATTGTGGGTAATGAGAAGGCCGATCAGTTAGCTAAGGCTGCTTCTACCTGTGGAGATATGGTCCCGGTCCCTTACAAAAATTATTGCCATGACTTGGTTGCTCTGCCCAGAGTTTATCTTCAGGAGTCCTGGAATAAACTTTGGGAAGAGAGTGCTCGATCGAAAGGTAGATTTTACTTTAATATTCAACTTCAAATTCCCATAAAGCCATGGTTTTTTAAGATAGTCAGCCAAATGCTCTATTTCTATAATTACTCGTATTGACGTCACGTCTTGGACATATATTCACTCCTCTCCACGTAGCTACACTTCATATTATAGACAGCGATTTATGCGAGTGTGGTGATGATGTGGGGGACCTAGATCACATCTTTTTCTCTTGTTCCGGATTTGACCGTTCCTTCTTCCTCCAACAACTCCTATCTTTACATGTTCCTTTACCTACCCGTGTGTCATGCCTCCTTATGTATCCTATTCTCTATTATAATTTACTACACTCATTTATTATTACAAATAATATAAAAAATTGGTACCTGTATTTATTTATTTTGTGTAATTTATGTATATATTTCAAATTATAATATCCTCTCTGCACTCTGAAATCTCAACATATTTTGTCTCATTTCTCAGAAACTAACCAGCAGATCGAGCTTGAGTTTTCTGTACTTCAGAGTACTATTAAGGTACAAATTTTTGAAATAAGAAGTTTTTATAGTTATTAAATATATACTGGTAATCCGCGAGGTACACCCGCCATATTGACAGTCAATACGGCGGGTGTATCTTTGATATTGCTATCACTTCGTTCTGATGGAGGTAGAAGTTTTTTAGACAGGGGTACTAAATAGTACAAAGGTACATTTTTTTGATACCAAATTTGTTAGGATCCGTTAAGGCACACCCGCCTTTCTGACTCTCATATGGTCGAGCATACCCGCAAATGGGCGCGAGATGATGCGAAATACGATCCTGGTTTGCCGCAATATAAATCGAGATCGAAGATCTTTGCAAATAAAACTAGACAAAAAGTTACATTAAGCATTTATTTATAAAATATTAAACCTCTAAAATTTAGGACTCCTCCCCACCCTTCTCTGTCTGGTACTTGTAATGGAGTTCGGTGCAATCTTCATTGGATATGTTCACCCAACCGTCCTCGTTGATGTGGTACACGCGGACGATGCCGCCCGAGTACGCGTCCCGGTGCGTCGCGTGGTAGATCGCGCGACGGCCAAGTTCTGACAAAAAATATATACAATTACGGTAAACATTAATAATAATAACGCACACACTCATGGTCCCACAACAGGGAAAACCTAGCGGGTACCATGAACACACATAGACAACTACAAATTACACCCAATTCACGAGAAATAAATATAGGCCACACAAATATTTCCCCTGACACGGGAATCTAACCCGGGACCTCTGCGAGGCAAACCAGCATGGGTTCGGCCACAGAGGCAGTTATTTATTTATTATTAATAAACAAATAAGATTGAAGAACCTCGATGCTGCCAATGTTTTTGCGTTAATTTGATGACCTCTGTTGGCCATAGTAGCGGTCAGCACTAGATGAAGAGGTTCCACATTCGATTCCCTGTATGTACATTTTTTAAATACCAAGCTATGGGACGAATAAGTCATGTGCCTGGTGGTAAGCGACACGCCTGTCCATAACAGTTGCAGAGCCAAAGATCTGAGGGGCACTGCCACTACCTTGAACCGTGTGAAGTCTGTTCGTGATTTGGGAGTAAAATTCGATTCTGAACTCAAATTTAACGATCATATTATCGATATATGTAGTAGTGCTTGGAAAAGTCTTGGCTTCATCAAGTGGCAGTCTGAGTTTTTTGACCATCGACAGGCAATTTGTAATTTATATAACGACTTTGTTCGAAGTAAATTGGAAGCTACGTGCGCAGTGTGGAATCCCCACAATAAACTCCATATACCAATGTTAGAACGAATCCAGAAATCATTTTTGAGGTATTTGTATAGTAAACTTTATGGGTACTATCCTTATATGTACCCTACACCCTTTATTTTGGGCATGGTGTCGTACAGATCGCTTGAGATCAGGCGAAAACTGGCGCTACTAAAATATATTTTTAACCTAATAAGAGGATGTATAATTAACCCTCCTCTATTGGCTCAAATTCCTTTTTTTATCCCGCCAATCTCACGCTCCGTCCTTCGTCAGCGTAAATACCCTCTATTCAATTTTCATTTGACCCGCACAGTGACACTAATACGGACACCATTCTTCGAAGTATTGGCCGTAATTGAATCGTTAAGCAAAACAAATGATATTGATTTGAGATTCAGCAACACTTGAATCAAAATTTCTAACATCCGCTGGTTACTATTTGGAGGCGGTCACCGCCCAAAGCTTTGTGGTCCAAATTCCGCTTCCTATCTTTGGCCAGTGATCGACTCAACCTTATTTTGTGACTATGACTTACATGTTTAGTTATAAATACTGTAAGTGTAAGTTGTACAAACTAAATAAATAAATAAATAAACTACGACCATCACTCTGAGACATATGTTCACAAGTAATTTCATCAGCACCTTCACTTCAAAACCGGCATTATTACTGCTTTTGATGTACTGGATAGTGTTCCAGACTGATTTTTTTTCTTTCCATAAAGGAAAAGGCAAAGGTTTTACACCATACAGCCAAGTCTTGGCACATTATTAAGTCTTTTGAGCCATGTCTTCGTTTAATTATATTTCTGTAAATATGGCCGCCACAAAGGGGATAGGCAATTTGAGGCGGCGTGCTTGGATTGGCTCGGGATTCCTTAGAACGGGCAGATACGGGTATTTTAGTTCAAGGTTCGTATAATTTCGCGTTTTAATCTTCGATTAAGGCACAATAGCACTATCCTATTCCACTTTAAACTAGATTTCACAAAATAATTGAAAGTCAAAATAAAAACTACACTTTTCCCTCCAAAAGGCCCAGAGCGAATCCGTTCCAGACTGAGTTTCGTTGCTCATAGTATAGGGACTTTCCTGGTTTGAAACCAGGCAATTAACACATTATTATTATTTTACTTTTTACAAATTAATTTTTGTCTCTGGCATGCTAAAGACTAAACAAAAGAGCGAGCTAGAGCTATAGAATCAATCATCATATAAAAAAAAAGATAGCTTTACTACGCTGGGAGAGTTTATGAACTGATTGTGTTTGAAAAGGGAAACATTTCGAGTTCTTAGGTTTTCGCGATTGTTACACATAGGAAATACAATAGATTTCCTGTAAAGGGCCCGAAACGTCGGTTTGTTTGAAAAAACAAATATACGCGATTTACATCCGGAAAAATAGTTTCATTTCCTAAGGGAAAAATTGTTTTTTAAAATAATTTTATTATTGATTATACAAAATACGTTAGTTTATAATATGGGCAATTTTTCAATCATACTTTACAGCATGTGTTAAATCCAAATTATAATTCATATCTTGCCATTATCATTGAAATGATTGTGGTGAGTTTGCAATTTCATTACAGAACTCATACATATCTCATATTCTTACGTTTTTATTCAATATTGCGCTAAACTCAAATTTGGCATTGTTCATAGATCTACATCAAGCCAATAAAATTCAAAGAAGATAACTAAGACATAAATGCAATAAAACTTAGGACTAAAAATGACTAAAAACGAAATTTTGGCCATTTTTCAAATAAAGTTTTTTTAATATAAAATTTTTCGCGGCTTTTCGCGATTAGCGTTTCAGCCACTTACAAAACGAGGAAACTTATGATATCATTGTAATCAAATAGTTCAAGTCTCCAAGTAACTTTTCTTGAATTTCTTATTTTGACAGCTGACATCATCAGTTGCTTGGCAAATGGCATGTTCATGACGATATTATTATGAGAAAAAACTGAATTCAACTTCTGAATTGTCAACATAAATTGCATGGAACCTGCCTTGTTTTTGTGAGGTCATGAGAACAGCTATAAGAGCTCATAGAAGCCCCCTGTGTTGGGCCACAGTGGCAAGTTGTGGTTAAAACATAGCAAATCATTCATACCCTGAGCTTCCTCATCTTTCAGATCCCAGCGGTATCCCGAGTCGAGGACACCGAAGGCGTACACTGACCCAGAGCCAACGGAGAACACTTTGCCCGGAGTGCGTGTGCCGTCGTTGTCTACGTAGTACAGTTGAGCGCCCTGTGACACAAATATGTTTAAAAAAATGGCTTTAATGTGGTTTCTCAACAAGTGGTTATAATTGCCTATAACAACTGAAGAGTTTATTATATTGTTATACTATATTGTATGTATGTTAGTCCTTAGGTAGATATTATATGGGTCATGCGGCCTGAAATAAATGACTAAATAATAAATAAACATGTGGTCAAATTACAGGCACATGGAACTTGTCAACTTATGTGTCAGGGTGACGGGCGCTAGTGGCAGCGCCCCTCAGATCTTTGTTTTAAAGCTCGGAGCGGCACTGCAACTGTTATGGATAGGCGTGTAGCTTACCATCATGCGCATAACTTGTTCACCCCGTCACTTAATATTATAAAAAAAAACAAAAAACAAACATTTGCAGTACTAAGGCATACTTCCTTCCAGTTTAGTAACTGGTGATTGTTCTGGTTTTCTCGACTATTCCATCCAAACATAAGACAGCTACTTTGCAGTAGAAGTGGTTAGTGTAGTTGCGTCATGCCAGTGGGGTTCTGGAGGCTGATATTACAGCAAACAAAGTTTTAAATCAAATTTTGTACTCACTCGTTTATCATATCCAGCAATCATCATGCCCATACTCAAACCCATGCCCTTGTAATTATACACCATGTTAGCCATGAGTTTGCTAGCTGCTGCTACGGAAATACGCTCTCTATTACGTAATTCGTAAAGACGACATTGTTTTGCGAGGACGCGGTCCCAGTATACACAGTCGGCAGCGCCACCAGCCAGGGTACCTGGAATATTTATTTAGGTGTTA